ATAATAATGAACATGAAAGGTAGAAACGAAAGATACATATATATTTACCTCGTATGCCTTGTTCCCTATGATTAAATAGCTAGGAAATTTCCTATCGATGGTGCTTGCGCCAACCGTGATCTTCCAAGGCGCAACGTTCAACACCGTAGCAGGGAATGGCCCGGCATTTCCACCCAAGAAGACGACCACAATCCCTTTACTCACCGCGTGAAACGACCTGATGATTGATGCATCCATAAAATACTCGATACTGCCATCTCCAGCGAGGGAGACCGAGAGCACGTCGACCCCATCGTTGATGGCCATGTCGAAGCCCGCCAAGATGTCAGCATCAAAGAAATCTCCATCATTGATGATGGGCCAACAGACCTTGTAGGCTGCCACTCGGGCCATGGGGGACCCACCCTTGGCGGTGCCGTCACCATAGCCGAAGATATTGGCCCCAGAAACAAAGTTGCCGCCAGCTGTCGACAGGGTGTGGGTCCCGTGGCCTTCATAGTCGCGCGGCGTGTAGTCGCTTGAGTTGAGGTGCCCCCCGCCCGCTATGTACCCCTTGTAGAAGTAGCGGGCACCGATCAGCTTCCTTCATCCATCGAAAATCAACACATATATGCATGAATAAATTTGTTTAAAGAGAAATGACTAATATTATGCTATATGCACACACACACAGTACACACACACAACCTGTTGCATTGAAAGCTCTGATCAAATTGATTTTGGCAGATTCCTTTCCACTTTGATGGAATCGGACCCCTTATTCCTTCGTCGCTAAAGCTTTTCGATTCTGGTCACACGCCTGGTTCAATCACAATACTCAATATCATATAACATAGAAATAAACATATGTATATCGAAGTGTAAATGATACTTTGGAGAGGTTATAAGAAAACAAACCCGTGTCAAGATTGCCGATGATGACATCTTCACCCAATCTGGACTTATTACACAAAGAGCTGGCAGGAATTTCTCCTTCGTCATTTTCGAGACCAAGAAAACTCCACGACCTCGTTGTTTGTAACTTTCTTGCTCTATTCAAGAATACGGATATAACATTTGGATGATCTGAGAATGTTCATGTGATACATTGAACATAGTTATTAGAACCGCGTTTGTAAAATAAATAAACAAATAAATAAGAACGTGGCTATAGATAAAACCACTTACTGGATAATTGAAGTGCTTCATTTTCTTCGAGAGTTGCAGCAAATCCATTTATATGTCGAGTATAAGAGTAAAAAATGGCAGCTTTGGCCTTATCCGAACTATATAAAAAAGAACGAAGATAGTGATAGATCAATTTTTTTTTCATAAAAAAAGAGAAATTTGAACTACAGAACTCCATTCTTCTCTTCATCTCTGCACGAACTTCACTTACACTTACTTACCTTCCCATGAATGACCCAAGAAAGTCATAATGAGACTGAGTGACTCTATCATAATCAGTTTGTGTGGCTTCTTCTCCATGTGATTGACCTCCCAAATACACCACATATGACTATACAACGGGACCAAGAAAAAGAAAAGA